TCTAAAAGGTCTGGGATCATGCAGGTTTATGTGATGTTCAACCCCTTTTGCAATTCCTACATCCCATTCCTCAAAGGAAAACACATTTCCTCTGTCCGACAATTTCTGACTTAACCTTTTCTTCCATCCTTCTGGAACACTGGAGTTTCCAAAATTAAACAATTCTGGATTAATGGTAGTAGGAACAGTGTTACTCTTCTGAGCAACAGCCACTGTATCAGTCGAATACACTTGCGCAACTACAGTCCCAGGTGGAAGAGAGATGTCTCTAGAGGTCTCATTGTGTATTGGTACTCGAAGTTGATTCAACTTTTCCTCTTGTAAGGGTAAAACCACAGGAGGAATGAACAGTCCTGAAGGCAACTGATCCTCTGCAGAAGTTTCCACAAGGAAAATGTCCTTCTGTATGGGCTTCTCACACTCTACTTGACATATTGCTTGGAGTTCCCCTTTTGAAGGTACTGTCAGAGAACCGGGTCCCACCCACTTGACTCTTCCCTGTGAACAGTCAGCACTCTCTTTTGGTTTAGGTTTTTGCGGACAACACAGCTCCTGGTAAGGCGAACTGATCCTAAAGCTGTGAGCAATGTTGGAAGAACCAGTCTCTTCTGTTAGCGCCGCCAACCTTGTGAAAAAACTGGCATTTGTCCCAATTATCACTGGGACTGACTGGGGTCCTTGGGGCTCTGGACAGACCAATGCTAGAATGGAAATGGTTTCCTCCACTTTGGTACCGGAGGTGGGGAAAGAAGCATCAACCACAATATATCCCTTGTAAGGATAATTAGATGAACTGAGTCCCCATATAGATAGCCCATGAAGGGGTCGAATTGGCACATCAAGCAAGTATTTAGAATACCAAGAGTCAAACACAATAGTGACTTGGGATCCACTGTCCAAAAGAGCTCTACACGGATGTCCATTGAGCTTCAGGGACACTGTAGAGGTAGGCCCCACCAATCCTTTAGGGAGACATGCTGTTTCTAAGGCATCAATCTGGCTTTTCTTTGAAAAACAATCAGGTTGTCCTGCCTTACTGCTGTCATTTGGCGTTTCACTTCTTTCACTTTTAGCCTTCCTTAGTGAACGGACTAGCTTTTGGATCACTTTTGTGGGATTTTCAGGGGCTTGGCACCTAGTTGCGATGTGTCCATCTTCTCCACATCGATAGCAGAAGAAGTCTTCCTGAATCTGTCTAGACCTGCCTTTGGGTGGCATAGACCAAGTGCTGGGTGGTCTCTGAACTTGCTCTGGCGACTGGCTATGAGTTACACTCATAACACCAATCTTCTGCTGCAATTGCTTTATTTGATCTTTCAGAGATTTCACCTCCAAATCACGGTGGGTATCAACCTGTGTCTTTGAAGAAGTATGCCCAGACTCCAACATCACAGAAGCAGCTGACACATTTGGGGACCCTTGTACTAGCCTGGCTCTCAGATCCTTGATATCTGCTTTTAACTCTTTCACCACAGAAAAGCTAAGTTTCCCTTCGTCATGACACTGAACAGACTTTACAGTGGCTTTTATTTTCTTCCTGGCAGCTTCATTTTCCTCAGCTTCTCTGACCTCATTCAAAAGTGTCAAAAAGGTTGGCGGTTGATTTTTCCTCTCTCTAAGCCTCAGCTGCAGAAGCATTAGGTCTGACTCAACGGCCCCTCGAATTAGTTGCTCAACCCTAACTCGATCCAGCATTTGTGGAGACACTCCACCTTTCTGCACAACTTTGTTTAATGCTTTGTCCACTCTGCGCAGAAAATCTGATAAGGCTTCCCCAGAGCATTGTCTTAAAAGGCGAAAGGCAAAATACAAATCCTCTCCTGACTCCGACGTTCCAAAAGTAGTTTCTAGTGCTTCTATGTATTGTAAAACACTAGCTACAGGATTAGAGAATCGTACTGCCTTGATGATTTCGAGTGCCGGCCCTTTTAGGCTCTCTACTACCCTTCGTCTTTTCTCTCTTTCTGAGCACTCACACTCAGTAATCATCATTCGGGCTTGATCGACCCAGCCCTCCAATGTTTCTTCCCCTTGAGGTGTAGGCACAGTGCCAGAAAAAGTGCGTAATCTCCTATAGACATTATCACTGGGCGGTTTACCGGTTTTCTCTAACAGATCCCCCAACGCACGTATGATAGCTTCTGGAGAACTGGCACTTGGACCTGAAGGAGACACCAAACCTTGTAAATCAGTTAATGACTTTCCCTCTCCTACCAAAAACCTGGCAAGCTTCTCTTCAAAACCTCCAGAGGTAGGTACAGTTCTCTGGACTACAACAACTTTCCAGGGTTCTTCCCCTTTAGCAGACAACAGTTCAGTGGGAACAAGCTCAGGGTTAATGGTCTCACGACACTCGCACAACACCAGTTGTTTAAATGGGCTGGAACCTTCCTTGGTAGCTCTAACTCGCACTCTTCCCCAAGCTTTTACAGATTGTGTGACATCCTCAATATGTGCCACTTCCACCTCTGTTGACACTCCAACCAACAATATGGCATGAGTTTTATCAATCAGAACCTCTTCACACCAATTAGAGAGTTCTGCTTGGAAATCACAAGAGCTAGACAAATCCATCTTAAATTACAAAACAGTCAGTAAGAGGTAAAGTAGTTACGATACCAACAAGAGGAAATTTGAGTTCCCCGTACTGGCCACCATTTTATGTAACACCCTACTCAGACAGAAGGTTCTTCTTTTCAGAGATATTTAGAGTGATCACACGGGTTCTTTTATTTTGTGTCTCTCGACTAATTTTGGGAACTCTTCTTAAACTCAACTAACAATAGTCTGACCTCTTATTGATATGGAGCACAGAAATAAAACCATCAAAAAGAGTATTTAACAACACCACTACCACTGTTTAACATACAAACCAAAAGTAAGGAAATGAATCTGTTCTTTCACAATAAACAATTACACATTTTATTAAAAGTCCTTTGAATATAGAATGAAAATAAAAATATTCAAATAAGAAAAATTACAACTTCCCTAGGTTATCAAAACACTCCCCGAAATGTCACAAATGTCACTTGAATATTTCAAATGGCAAAATTGCCTATGTAGTTAGGTTTTTAATTACATTAAATTAACCCTTCAAATCAACAAATTACAAAAGGATCCTCTTACTCAGATGAACCAAAGTTATAATAAAATAATCGTGGGCCCACACACACACACACACTTTCACACAGTCTCACGTGCGCGCTTTCCCCCCGCGTTGCAGGCCTGTAGCGTTGCTTGTGTGCGTTGTGGCCGTTAAAGCAAACTCAAAATTGGCCCCTTCACTCTAAAGAGCAAAAATAAAATAAAATCAATAATACCTGTAACAAGTCCCAAAGCTGTCCGTTGGGCTCAGCAAACGAGTGTTTCGCTCTCTTGGCTGCTCTCGTGAAATAGTCCGTGGCTCCGCGTGTCCCACGTAGCCAGAGGAACTCTGAACCTCACGGTGATTCAGAGCGCTATCTGGGTAGTCATCATGCTTTAAAATGACTGTCGTTATATCGAATTGCCTCAGACACGCAGCGCTAAACTGCCGTCTCGTCCCAAGAGATCGTGTATCTCACTCTCTCTCACCTATCGCGGCAAAACTGAAAGATGCTGTCTTCGTTTTGAAGTAACGTGGTATCAAACTCAACAAAACATTGGTCTTTCACACCACACTCCTAAACAGTAAAGTAACTTAGTCACAAATCACTTACTAACGGTTAGTTAGTAAAACAAAACAAACGACAATCTAGGAATATCAATCCGATTTGGATTTTTTCTTTCACCGCCTCTCCGCCTGTCATTTCTCTCGTTCCTTTCTCTCACACCCACCAACCACCGTCACGAATAGCTCTCTAGGAGGTGGGCTTTGCAAATCCCTTATCCAATAACACAAAAGAAATGATAAAACTTGCTTGTAAAAACCACATTGTCCAGCAAGTACATTTCAACCAAACAAAATAGCAAAACTAAATTTTAAAGAAACAGTCACATAGGCTGAGATTCATGAATTACATCAAACATAACAAAAAATAAGTACTCTACTTAAACTACATTCAAATGCTCAACTTCACCCAGGTTACATATATAATAAAAGGAAATGTGCCTTCCAAAAAAAACATTCAATATCATTAATGTGTTGTATAAAGAAAATAAAAAGGACATAAGCAAATATAAATATTACAAATATGTGTTATAGACAAAGAAAGTTTGTAAAATGAACTTCAACTGTCAGAAGGACAGCTCATGAAGAACCAATCATGTACAGAAAGGAATGTTCAAATTCAGAGGAACAGTTCAGAAGAAACGTTAATAATAAAGATTGAGAAGATTGGATCAGTTGTGCTCCTTTTTTGGAATACTTGAATACTATTTTTTGTGGAATACTTGATGCGGCCCATCCTGACCCAGACTCTACCTCCAGCGGCCCCCAGTTAAGTTGAGTTTGAGACCCCTGCTCTACAGCGATCTGTCACGACACATTAAAGAGCCACAAAACGGTATTTATTGTTTAAATTTCTTTTAAAAAATGACCAAATTTGAAAGGTGAGACTTTGTTTAATATGTTTAATATCAAAAGTAACTGAAAAGAAACCTGGTCTGTCCTGTCTGTCAGACATAGCGACAGTAACTAAGGGGGGCGGGTCTTTGCGAAGGGTCAATTGTTGCTTAAATTTATAATAACCAGAAAAACCATCGCAAATATATTGTGGATATTCGAAATATCATAAAGCTCGAGCTCCTATGGCCTCGGAGAGCAGGCATACAACTTACATAACATATTTCAGCACTAATTACATCAGTCCACAAGTGACAGTTTCAAGTTTCAGTAACTGGAAAGACCAAGTAAAAGCATCTATGGTGATTCCAAGAGCCCGACAAAGACTTCTGGTTCATTTTAAGCAAAACATGTATATTGTTTCCAAAGAAATGTTGCACAAATGCCTCCTTTTCAGGGTATATATCAATTGTGGACAATGTAATGCTAAAAAAAGCAGCATTGAGAGGCAACTTACTTCTCTGGCAATGGTTTTGGTTCCAGCAACGCTCGCTGAAATTCCCGTTGATGGTGGTCTGTTTGCAGGTTATCGTTCCCTTGATGGTACCCGGGCAAATGTCTCCGCACTCCTGGTCATCCTTGTTTGCCACGATGTAGTTGTCCTCCATCGAGTCCGAGATCTTGGACCAGTCGAGAGTGGACAAATAACAGAGGTCGGGGTTCTTCTCGACGCGTACCGCCCCGCGCGTGATTTTGGTCAAGCTGTGGAGGCCGATCTCCTTCAGCTGGAACATTTCGAAAATGACCAGGGCATAGTTGAAGAAGAGGTTGTTGCCGCGAATGACGGTGAGGTTCGGGAAGAGGTCGCCGAGACTCTCCAGGCCGTAGACGCGGAAGAGGAGCAGGTAGTCCGTAACCACGACTAGCTTTGGGAAACTCAAGCCCCGGAAGTCCTCCGATCTGGTCTTGAACATGATCTGGATCTTCAGGTGGCCCTCGATCACCGTGCAGTTCTCGAGGACGCGCAGGTTGATCGGGTTGTTGTGGATGTCCGTGCTGAGGCAAACTGCAACAACAGAAAAAAACAAGTTATTAGCATGTGAAACTGTTTATTTGGACGCAATTGGCAAAATGCCAACATTATACGTCATGTCTGTTGCAATTTTTATATTGCCGCAATTAGAGATAACTGTGATTCACTGAGCATTTTAAAAACAACAAAGCCACTTGTAGAGTCCAGTGTTGATGTAGTTTATATTAAAGCGGTCTTAAGCTTCTTACATTTTCAACTTTATTTAGTGTGTAATGTTGCAGTTTGAGCATAAAAAAAGTCTGCAAAGTTACAAAGCACAAAGTCACTCCTGAGAGAGTTATTCTCTATAAGTGCACACTGTTTCTGAACTCCCCCCAGACAGCAACATAGTGTCGGCCCAGATCCGGGCCACATCCGGTACATGTGGATTCAGATGCGGGCCGGATCTGGGCCGACACTATGTTGCTGTCTGGGCCTGAAACGCCTCAATTCTTGTACAATGAATGTACACGTCACAATATTCCTCATTTAAATAATTCCCAATTGACCCTTCGCAGGGAGCTCAGGGTATATGCAGGAATCTTGAAGTTAATTTTAATACCTTTTCAAGACTTTTTCAAGACCTTCTCAATATTTTTTAATACCTCACCGCCACTTCAAGCTGTAACCATTTACATCAGTGATACTTTTAACTTAACAGTTTTAGTTTGTGATCAAGACTATAGACCACTCTGATTAAAAAAAAAAATCAAATAGGCTGGGATAGTAAATCAAAGCAAAGTTTATTAAAAAACAAAACAAAACTTTGCTCCACCCTCAACAACAATCATGCTGACATGTGCCTCAGTTCTTAGTTTTTTTTAATAAAAATGACTAAATTCACACACTTTTACAATGTTTTTGGGACTCAAACTGTTGGACAGCTAATTCAGAAAAAATTAGGGCTGTAGCGATACACTAATCTCACGATACGATACGATACGATATATAACACGATCGATATTCAGCCAACGATACGATTCGATATAATTCGATACACTTACATCATTTTCTGAAAGATTTAAAGGGGACAGAGTGATTTTGGTGGCATCTTGTGTTTAATTTACTTGGATTGAATTAATTGAACTGAAAACTAAAAACATCAATTACACAATATATGTATCTGACTGGACAGAGCTACAGCTTGCAAATGCTGGACAAAATGAATCAAAGATGTGTTAATAAAATTAGTTCCATTTATTGAAACAGTGCAAACTGTAGCTTACAAGCCTTTGAAAAGTAAATAAAGTGCAGTATTGCAATTAACAATGGAGAGTTAAAAAGTGCAAATAAAGATTTGAGAAAAAAGGTTTTATAAAAAGATAAACCTCACATATTTCAGCCTTTAAATCATTTTTATAAAAAGAATGAGTCAAAAAAGATAAATTACAGACATTTACAATGCACATTAGCGTATCTTTTATTATTAATAGTAGAATTAGGTCCGATTTTCCCGTAGCGTCTGTCGTTGCTAAGCAACCGTGAACTGCGCTCTCCACAACGACAAAGAAGTTTTAGTAGCTAATGGATTTCCACCACCGAAAAACGCTTGCTGTAGCTCTGCTACTACAAGATTTATCTACGGAGAAGAGAAAAACACCCGTAGTGTTTCATGTTGACTGAGCTTTCAATGTTGTTACGGAAAGGGTGAAGCTGACTGGTTGTTTCTTGTCACATGAACTGCTGTAAAGTTGAGGTGTTTTCATCTCGCTGCGCCTGGGAAAAATGAGCGCGCTTACCGCGCGCCTACATTTGAAATAACGAACTTGAGCGCGCAAAAGACGCGATATGTGAACGGCCCCTTGACGAGCTAAGGTAAACATGGGGGATTTCAATGGGACTTGTGTATCGATACTCGCGGCTTAAAAATCAATACTATCTTGGGGGAAAAAATATCGATTTATATCGCAGAATCGATAAAATTGCTTAGCTCTAGAAAAAATACTTTCAAAATGTAAGACTTTATAAAGCCGTGATAAGACTTTTTAATACTTTTTAAGGGTCTTAATTTTCCCAAAATTGATTTATCACCTTTTAATGCTTTTCAAGACCCCGCGGATACCCTGGAGCTTGATTGACAGGTGATCTGACCAATCATACTTCGCCATCCGCCATTTTGTCCGACAAAGCAGTCAGGAGAGTTAGCAGATTAACATGGGAGGATTTGAACTTGAAAAACGGAGTGTAGGCTACTGACGCCTTTCCGCGGTTGAAACAACATTCCTTCTTATGTTCATTTCATGTTTATTTGATTCTATAAATGAACTAGAAGGAAGAGATGATCGGTTCACGAGCAGCTTTAACTGATGCATACAGCGATCTGTCAGACAGTGACACATTAAAGAGCCACAAAACGGTATTTATTGTTTAAATTTCTTTTTAAAAATGACCAAATTTGAATGGTGAGACTAATATGTTTAATATTAAAAGTAACCAAAAAGTAAGCTGGTCTGTCCTGTCTGTCAGCGTGTTGTCAGTCTCCAAATTCAGCAAGCAAAACACAAACTTTTCAAGATTCAGGTGTTTCCTTCAGAGTAAAGTATAAATAGAAAATGCAGAAACATCTCCAAGTCATATTATACTAAAAAAATAAGAAATTACATTTCACATAAAGAAAGTTTTATTTGTTAAACTCTTTTTACCACACGGTAAAAATTACAATAATAAAATGGTTTGTTTGAAGTTGAAAATAATATATATTATAAACAGTAAAACAAATAGTAACATTATGTCAACAATATTTAAAATTTGATATAATATACAAGTTGTTTTGCAAGATAATGAGAATCATTCACATTGAGGTAATGAGAATTGGCGTGGAAAATTTGCTTAATTTTCATGAAAACAATCCTAAAAAAATAGGCCTAAAAATATAATTGAAATTAAAAGAATGGGGGGATAAAAATATAACTATAAAACAAATAATATCTTGTTACAATCTGGTGCCAAAGCTAAAGGACTTCCAGCAAATAGTCAGCAAAATTGAACTATTCCACACACAAATTTGTTGAAATATTCTACCTTTCCCACAATGATGATGATGTATGAAATTATGTAATGATAAATGAAAGTTTGTGTTCAACCACATATTACATCTGTGTTTTATATTCAATTCAAACTGATGTTATTATTAAAGCGTTTGAATTCGCCACAGTATTAATAACATCGCTGCAAGATCTAATGAGAAGCATTTAAACTTGGCGCTGAATTCTCTGTTATAACAATATATATCAGATTAAATAGTGCTAACATGGAGAGACCAGGAGAAGCATTGTCCCATGAACGAACACGTTATAGAAGGCTTTCCAATCCACAAATCACCAACATTCACCATGGATTTAATTTAGTAACTAACTGTAACCATGGTATGGTGGCAGAAATAGTCAAATGTTTTTACATTATTCATTTCAGGGTTCGTACTACCTTTTGAGAGTGAGATTCAAGGGCTTTTTCCAGCCCTTTAAAGCTCTAAATAATATGATCAAATTTAAATGTTATTTTTAATGTGATGACAAAAAACATTTGTTCATCCTTCATAGATTGTCCCCATCTGTAAAACTTAAAATTTCAATATGTAGAATAACTAACACTTGTTTGCAGATATAGAATCACTATTATACAATATGAAATCAAGAAATACATTTTTGTCAAAGCTTGACACTTTTTTGTGCTGAAGTATGAAAATCAAACTTTCTTCATACTCAAGACTGAATTACACAAAGCAAAAGAGCGCTCCTTTTATAATCACTGAAGCTGTCGGTCAGTTCAGTGTGATACTATAGAAGAACAAATGGTACATTTAATAAGAGTACAATATTAAAACATTTCCTTATAAAATGTGTTTTTTTCTAGGTTACTGATGTTAAAGGGGTCATATAATGCCATTTTCATACAAGTTAATTTGATTCTTTAGGGTCTAAATTAAAAGTTTGTATACTTTAATTAAAAATTATCATTAGTATTGTAAGAAAACACTCATTTTACCTGGTCAAAAACAGCTGTTTTCAGCACGCCGTTTCAGTGCATATGCCTTTAAATGATAATGAGCTTCGCTGACCCCGCCCCTCTGTTCTGCGGGCGTTTTGACACAACCAGAGCCGTTAACGGCTCTGGACACAACGCACGTGGAGTGTTTCCTTGACAACATTTGAGGGGATATTTTAGAGAAAGAATGGCAGCGGGAGTTTCTGAGGATACATCTGTGCAACCTTATCAGTTTGAACCGGAGTCGGACCCAGAACAAGATGACAGCCGCAAAGAAGTTCGACAATTAAGGCTCGAACAGGACGTTTCTGAATGGTTGGTTAACATAATGTCACTTTGATCTATCTTTGTTTACTGGCAGGGTAGAGTAACTTACTGATACGTACTCAGTTTGTAATAGCACAATAACCATAACACGTTGTTCATTATAAACGTGGGATTATGAATTATATTGAGAACGTTGTACATAGAAAACATGCCGTATATACGTTACGTGTAAACCTTAGCCGCATTCATCGTGAAGCGATTTGCAAAGATTAATATAAAGGTTAATAACATTTTACACTTACTTTTTCTGGAGGTGCAGCAGTGACATGAATAGTTGGTAACGATTCTTTATTCAGGAGCAGCTTCTTAGCAAAACCAGATTTATAAGTTACTTCCCTCATTTATAAAGCATTCTGGTGAGAAAAGATTCGCGAATCGCGCAAACCTGAAAGCATTGACGTTGCTCGTGGTGGGAATATTCCCTTCGAAAACAAAACTCAGTCATTGAGTCTTCAGCGGATCGGATTTAGGAACATCAAAATGTCAGCTGTGTTCCTTATTACACCCAATAACCGAACACCACACAATCGCTTAGACGCCATTCTGCTCCAGTGTAAACAATGACGGACTATGATGACAGCTCGCTCAGGGCAGGTGTGTGTTGAAGCGCTGCTGTCAATCAACAATCGTGGGAGGGGCGTCCGTTTTAGTGACGTCAATAAAACGAACGGCTCGATTTGAGG